ACATTTTAGGTAACAGTAAACTTATTGGAGAAATAGTTGGTAATTCTCATATATTGTAAAATAGGACAATTTTAAAATTAAAGGTCATGAAATAGGATACAGGAGAGACTATTTGTGGTTTTTAGAATAATTTATTACATTTTGTACTAATTGACATTTTGTGTTTAACTCCTTCCCTTCCAAGCCTGTGTACGAAGCAAGCACTATTTCACTTTATTTATATAGTAGCAAAATGCACATGTTGTCTGATTGGCTATGACCCTACAATCACACAATCTATATGGCTATTATGGAATTAGTCAAGATAAAACGTATCATGAATTGTAACTATTTAATGCATTGTCAGTAAATTGGGGGACATGGGACAAAAGGTAAAACTCCAAATCGCGATAATTACGAAGGCATATGATTTTGAAAAGTGAGGTCTAGTTTAATTTGATATTAGTGTGGATATGATAGATAATATATGTTGATGTCCGTTTTACATGAAATTCTGTTGCTGATGTTAAGATAACATTGTGTTGTATCTAAGGCATGATAAAGGCGCCCTGATATATTACATCCAATTTGTGAGTGTGACCATAACAAAACATTATTACACTGTGTTGTGTTTTGTTTATCTTTTGTAGTGATAACAGCTGAATCTCTAAACTGCATATTCTGTCTACATCTTGTATTTAGTTTTTTTTTTTTTTGTAAATCTTTTTTATTGAACAACAAGATAAGATTACATAGTTGCGTCATTACAATATTTTAGTCATTGTACAGTAAACCTAAGATATTACAAATCAAAAGCGTTGATCCTGTACAGAGTTTTGAGCAGTAAAGTTGTTGTTTCCCTTTTTTTTTTCCTCTGCCCCTTCTAGATTCCTTCATTACTTTGCTTTGTTTTGTTTTGCGTTATTATGTGTTTGTGTCCCAAAGCATAGTTTTCTTAATTGCATAGGGTATCTAAGTTTAACTTTTAGACTTGCAGGTCTCTGCAATCAAAATATTTATACGGTTCAACAACATGCTGTGTATGTAGATTGAGAGGGGATCTAAGTGCTTAACGATAAGGCAGCTTGTGTAAGTCAGGCTTTTTGTCCAAGTTCGCCATGTTAGGTATGCGTTGCCTAGCGGATGTGGTGGCGAACATTGGGCTGTGTTTATTACTGGTGTTATACTTAGCTGGGTTTCCCCGCTAGTCTGTTTTGTGAGCGTGGTGATTAGTTGCTATGTGATGGTTAATAGTTTGTGTGATATGTGTCCCTGTCTCTGTTACGTTATCCTATATGGCTATGGGTGTTGTCGTCAATCCTTGCGGTTTGCGTGAGTTCCCGTACGTGATTCCTTAGTTGCGTTATTGATGTGTGTATCAGTGACCTCGTAAAATGCGTTTGGAGTGGGTCTAAGAGGTGGCGTGCCCTTTGCGTTATATGAGCGTTAGCTCCTCTCTCTACACTTTTCCGTGCTGTAATGTGTAGCAAGGTATGACTCATGTTCCCCGAGGGGGTCGGATTATTTCTCAGATCCCATCAAGGCTGGGTGTTTATCCTTTAGTTTTTCAGAGGTTAATGTTTCTTTTGTGTGATGATATATCTCCCTGATCTCTCCTCTGCCCTCCCGGGCCCGGGGCCCGTCTGGTCTGTCTGGTGGGAGAAAAAAAACCAAAAAACATCTCTGTGTGTTTTGTTGCGCGTCCCGTCAGGGAGGCGTGTATTTCTTCTGCTCCATGGATGTCTTCTACTCTACGGATCCATTCCTTCTTAGTTGGTACATCGCGTTTCTTCCAATGTGCCGGTATGTTAGCTTTGGCCGCGTCTAGCAAGTGACGCAATATAGATCTTTTATACGTCCGGATGAATTGTGTCGTGATGTGCAGTAGGACTAGTTCCGCGTTCCATTCCGGTATGTCTCCCAGGATGTCGGTCACAGTGTCCTTAATCATTGCCCAGTATGGGGTAATGTCCCTGCATTCCCACCATATATGTATCAGTGTGCCGCGTTCTGCCTGGCATCTCCAGCATGTCGGGGTGATTGATGGGAAGATCTGGTGTAGCAGGGATGGCGTTCTGTACCAGAGGGAGAGCAGTTTGTAGTTTACCTCTTGGTAGTATGAGCTCATAGAGCTTTTTTGCTGCCACAGTAGCGTCGAGTCCCATTGTGAGGGTGTGAGCGTCTTTCCAAGTTGTTTGCGGTATCAGCCCCTCATTGTTTTGGGCAGCCGGGCCTCTTGTCGTCCCCCATATCCTAATTTCCAGTGTTGGTCCGATGAGGCCTTTATCGAGCTCTACCCATTGTTTCGTTGTAGGTTCCTGGTGCCAGTCTAGTATCCGTTGCATTACCGTGGCTTGGTGATATTTCTTGACATCTGGTAATGCTAGTCCTCCGTGATTCCTTGGCCGGCAGAGTATGTCGTGTCGAATTCGGGAGCGTTCCCCGCGCCATACAAATTTAGTTATCGCCGTTTTCAAGGTGGAGAAGAAGGTCCCTGGAATGGCTAGCGGGATTGTCAGCATGAGGTATAGGATTCTCTGTAGTATGTTCATTTTGAGGATCGCAACTCTTCCATGCCAGGTTACGTGTGGGTACGACCATCTAGTCAGGTCCGCTAAAATTGTTTTCAGGAGGGGCACGAAGTTGAGTCGGTATGTGTCTTCCGGGTCTGTGGCCACCCAGATACCCAGATACTTCATCCGGCCATAGCACCAATGGAAAGCAAATTGCGAGTCCAGGGATATGTATTCTTCTGTGGGGATCGTGATGTTCAAGATTTCGCATTTTGAGAGATTAAGTTTGAAGCCTGAGATCTTCCCGAATTTGTCGAATTCGGAGAGGAGGCACGGCAGAGTTGTTCTAGGGTTCTGTACAAAGAATAGGAGGTCGTCTGCATATGCAGCCACTTTATGGTTTGTTCCTTGCCAGCTGTATCCTTGAATGTTTGGGTTCAGGCGTATCTTCTGAAGTAGTGGTTCCAGGGTCATAGCGAACAGGAGTGGTGATAGTGGGCAGCCTTGACGGGTACCGTTGCTGATTGTAAAGTCCGCTGTCGTGGCCCCGTTGACTCTCACGTTTGCATGTGGTTTGCTATAGAAAGCCGATACCCATGCGAGTAGTCTCTGTCCGCATCCCATGTGTTGCAGGGTAGCCATCATGTATGACCAATCAACCCTATCAAATGCTTTTTCCGCATCTGTAGACAATAGTAGCAGTTTGGTCTTTGTCTTCTTTGCGTGTTGTTGGATTGAGAATAGTCGTAATGTGCTATACCTGGCCTCTCTGCCCGAGATGAAGCCTGTCTGATCCGCGTGTATCAATTCTGGAGGGGAGTTATTGAGCCTGCCCGCTATAACTTTTGTGATTAACTTGGCGTCTACATTGAGCAGCGATATGGGATGATAGCTACCGCAAAGCAATGGGTCCTTTCCTGGCTTGAGCAAGACCGTGATGGTCGCAGCCAGGGACTCCGCGCCCAGGTTTCCTCCGTGCCATGGCATCAGGAGGCCAGAGAAGCTCTTATAGTATCCGGTCGAAAAACCATCTGGGCCCGGTGCCTTGCCTGGTTTGGACACTTTCAGTGCCGCTGCCAGCTCTTCTGTGCTAATTGGCGCGTCAAGTGCCGAAGCTGATTCTTGGCTAATCGTTCTGTTGATCGTGTCAGATAGTCTCTTATCTGAGTGGTTCTTCTTTCGTCACACGTTGTCCTCGTGGGTGGGCGTAGGTTGTAAAGGGTTTGGTAATAGGTGATTTTTTGTGGGTAAGGGGTCACTTCCCCCGAGGAAAGGCGCAGTTTGCGTATTTGTCTACGGGGCATAGGGCCCTTTAATAATCTAGCTAGATATTTCCCCCCTTTATTGGCATGGGCGTAGTAAAAGCCTTTTGTGCGTTGTAGGTTTCGGAGATGCTTTTTTGTGATGAGTTCTTTAAGTGCCCTTCTGTGTTCCATCAGTTCCCCGTATACTCTGTGTAGTTGGGATCTTTTGTGCTGGTTTTCCAATGTCGATATCTTTTGGTACAGGTTGGTCATCTCGATCATATTCGCTTTCCGTTTTTGCGAAGCAATGCGGACGAGTACGTGGCGAATGACGCTCTTATGTGCCTCCCATACGGTTATCGGGGAGACCTCTGGTATGTCATTTTCTCTGAAATAGTGTTCTAGCTCGCGGGTTATTTGTTCTCTGGTGACTGGGTCAAGTAGGAGAGCCTCGTTAAGTCTCCATGTCGCCGGGCGGAACATGGGGGACTCCATTTCTAATCTGACCGAGCCATGGTCCGACCACGTAGATGGATCGATGTCCACTTTGAGTAAGCGAGCGAGTCCCTCTTGCGTGATGAAGAGGTAGTCTATGCGCGAGTAGCGGTTGTGAAGAGCGGAGTAGTAAGTATATAGTTACCATATTGGGTGGTAACCAGAGGGAAGCTGTCAATCCAAAGTTAATTTACTATTTGTGTTTCCATTAAACACAGGTGAAAAGAATTGTATTGTACGAGAGATATGTCTGGAGAATACAGCTTTACTCTGTGCACCAGATAAGATATATTGTCAAATTATCCAGGATCATATTTCATCATTTTGTGGCTGGATGAGAGTATTTGTGTTTGCAATTAATACAGGTTCACAGCCAGGTAGAGGCAAAGTGTGGACGATTCTTGTCCTTGGTTCTCAGTCCAAATATTGATTAGCATGAAGTGTGTCCCTTGTTCTTATGGTAGAAAATGATGCGAGCTGTTATAGTAGCTTGCCTTGGAGTCGATTCTGCTCTGAAATTTCACTGTATTGAAATATTTCCCCTCAATCAATCAACATATATGCCTGTAGATAAATGCTACAGCCAGCCTCATACATTAGGACATAAAGGCCTTGCCCACCAAGCTTACATCCTTTAATGGAAATTCCAATATGATTTTCCCATCTTAAAGCTATTGAATAATATAAAATAACATTTATGGCCGATTGTAACATTTGATTGAATGGATTTAAAGTGACAGTTTCCTAGCTCCAACCCATGGTTAAAGGACCACTATAGTGCCAGGAAAACATACTCGTTTTCCTGGCACTATAGTGCCCTGAGGGTGGGGGCACCCTCAGGGCACTATAGTGCCAGGAAAACGAGTATGTTTTCCTGGCACTATAGTGCCCCCCTCCCGCCGGGCTCTAGGGTGTGGAAGGGGTTAAATTTACCTCTTTCTCCAGTGCCAGATGGGGGACTCTCCTCTCCTCCTCCTCCTCGGCTGAATGCGCATGCGCAGCATTCAGCCAGTCCATAGGAAAGCATTCACAATGAAAATCACAGTGAGAAGCGTGGAAGCCACTAGAGGCTGGATTAACCCTATTAGTTTCTCTGAAACTTCTATGTTTATAGAAAAAAGGGTTAAACCTAGCTGGACTAAGCACCCAGACCACTTAATTAAGCTGAAGTGGTCTGGGTGCCTATAGTGGTCCTTTAATAGTCAAACTATTTTCAAATTGTTTGATACTTACGTGGCTCTCCTGGGCGCCCATGGACCTTCCTCATTTCTAAAGCACAAGCTCCAATTCTTCTGTATCAGTGGTTCTCCATCCAAACCCCAAGATCCAGCAACAATCCAGGATTTGTCAGTATCTCCTCTGGAATAGTAAATAGAAAAAACACGTTGACTGGTTTGGGAATCACTGCTGTATAACTATATGAATTTTGTCCCTATTTGGATATATATTTGTTTATAGTGTAGGTTTTTAAGAGAATGTCTGTGTTTTATATGCACTTTGCTAAATTTAATTTAAAAAAAAAAGAAGACATTTCTGAATTGCTGAACATTTTAAGTGTAAACCAATGTAGCTGGCAATACCCTTGATCTTATTTTCTCTCGTGAATGTACAATCTCTAATCTCTGCAACACTCCATTTCCTCTCTCAGATCACCACCTCTTATCATTTGCTCTCAATAGCCCCTACTCCATCATCCACAACCCAACACCACTCGACTAAGAAGAAATCTCAATTATAATGACCTCCAGCAGCTGTCAGCTAATATTGATTCCCAAATTCTATCCATCCCTTCCCTCTCCTGTCCTTCACTGACCATCTCCACATATAACACTACCCTCACCTCTGTCTTGAACATTGCAGCACCGCTCCAAACATGCATCTTGAGGAGGACACGCCCCCAACCGTGGCATACTAAATCAACACGCTATCTGCAAAGTTGCACCTGTTGTGCTTAACGATCCTGGAGGAAGTCCAGCACCCAGGCAGACTTTTCCGCTCTCATTAGTTCATGCTGCCGCAATCTCAGGCATCTCTTTGAAACCTTTAACTCTCTTCTCCACCCTGCTGTGGCCACCCTTCAAACTAACCTTACAGCTGATAGCTTTGCATGCTACTTTAGCGACAAGATTGAACAGCTAAGGAAAGAATTCTCCCCACCTTTCTCATCCACACATATATCATGCCTTTCCTACCCTTCAGACTTTCTCCCTGGCTACTGACCAAGAGGTGGCTGCGCTTCTCCTTTCCTCTCGCCCCACCACCTGCCCGCTTGATCCTGTCCTGTCTCACCTTATCAGATCTCTCTCCTCTTACCTTGTGCCTTCCTTAAACCACATCTTCAACAGCTCTCTTCTGGCACTGTCCCTGCTGACCTTAAACATGCCACTGTAGTACCCATCTTAAAAAAAAAAATCTCTTGACCCGTCCTCCCCATCTAACTATCATCCCATATCCCTGCTCCCTTTTTCCTCAAAGCTTCAAGAATTGTCTTTACCCGTCTGACTCATTTCCTCAATTCCAAAACTCTCCTTGACCCTCTTCAGTCTGGCTTCCGCCCCCTCCACTCTACTGAGACTCCTCTTATCAAAGTTACTAATGACCTAATCACAGCTAAATCCAGAGGCCACTACTCCATACTAATTCTTCTTGACCTCTCTGCTGCCTTGACAGTTGGTCATGCTCTTCTTCTTCAAACTCTTCAATCACTCGGTCTCTGTGACTCTGTCCTCTCATGGTTTTCCTCCTATTTCCCCCAACACTCATTCATTGTCTCCTTTTCTAGTGATACCTCCTCCCCTAGTCCTGTCTCAGTTGGAGTCCCCCAAGGCTCTGTCCTTGGTCCCCTTCTATACTGCCTCTCTTGGCAAACTTATTACCTCATTTGGATTCCAATACCACCTGTACGCTAATGACACTTAAATATACCTTTCCTTCCCAGGCCTCTCCCCTGCCGTCCTGCAACGTGTCACTGCTTGCCTTTCTTCCATCCCGCTTTTTGAAACTCAACCTCTCTAAAACGGAACTCCTTGTCTTTCCTCCTCCTAATACTAAGCCCCCTCTTTCGCTCTTCCCTCAAGTGAGTGGTACCCAAATCCATCGTTGCAAGCGCACTGTCTTGGCATTATTTTTGATTCTGGCCTCACATTTGAGCCTTACATCCAGTCTGTTACCAAATCCTATAGATTCCACCTTAAAAACATAGCCCGCATCTGCCTCTTTCTTACGCAAAATGCTACTAAGGAGCTCGTCCATGCTCTAGTAATTTCATGCATGGATTATTGCAACTCTCTCCTAATAGGTCTTCCCACAAGATGTATTACCCCGCTACAGTCCCTAATGAATGCTGCTGCCAGACTGATTTTCCCATCTAGTTGCTCCTCTATCACTCCTTACATTGGCTTAACACATTCTATAGGGGTCAATTCAAGGTACTAATTCATACCTATAAAGTATTGAACAATTCTAGCCCCTCTTATATCTCTTCACCGATCCATAGGTATGTCCCGTCTCTGTCTCTCCGCTCTGCCCGTGACCTTCTCCTGTCCGCTGCTCGCACCCGTACGGCCAACTCACGCTTGCAGGAATTCTCGCGGGCGGCTCCCTTCCTATGGAATATCCTGCCTACCACCATCAGACTCTCCCCTAGCCTTCAATCGTTTAATAAGTGCCTTAAAACCTATCTCTTTAGGAAAGCTTATGGCCTCCCAGAGTAACCTCTACCTCACATACCTGTCTCTTGCTCCCACCTTGTTTGATTGCTAGCTCCTGTCCTGTTGTGTTTTACGCCCCACCTCCTATAGACTGTAAGCTTGTTGGAGCAGGGCCCTCTTCATCCTAATGTTCCTGCAGGGTTTTGTAATTGTCTCATTTATTGTTAAATCTCCCCCTTTGATAATATTGTAAAGCACTAAGGAATATGCTGGCGCTATATAAATACCAGTAATAATAAATAAACAGTCAAGAATCTTGTTGATGGACATAGCAAATGTGCAGTATTACATATTGCCACTAGATGGCACCATGTGAAAGGATCACTCCATGCACTCTAACCACCCATTCAGAGTGTGTTAATGTTGCCATGTCCCTGCACACAGTACCCGATAACATCATTAATATTGTAAAAAGATATATGACTTTTTTTTAGATGGCATAGGAGGGAGTAATGCTGTTTGTAATGCTGGGTGTGCACTGTGTGAGTGAGTCCCTATCTCTCCCTAAGCTGCAGTTGTACAGACACACAGGTGGCACCCCAGGACACCAGACCTGTTAACGTAAAACTGAATGGGGCTGTGAATAAACTGATTGCATCTGCAGGGTATCTGTTAATGGCTTATTCAGCAGACACACTCATCAAATCTGAGGGCTGAACTACATATCCCATAGAGCCCTGCTGGACAGGTATTTAATAGGAAGTGAACTCTTGTTAACCTACAGTCTAAACATGGGTGAAGGGTGGGAGTGGGCAATAGCATGTCCCACCTCTTCGTCTCCATGCAGAGCCAGGAGAACCTCTAGTGTAGCTGCATACCATACATTAAGCTGTATACCGTACATTAAGCTGTATACTATACATTAAGCGGGATACTATACATTAAGCTGTGTACAGTACATTAAGCTGCATACCATACATTAAGCTGTATACCATACATTAAGCTGTATACCGTACATTAAGCTGTATACCATACATTAAGCTGTATACCGTACATTAAGCTGTATACCGTACATTAAGCTGTATATTATACATTAAGCTGTATATCCTACATTAAGCTGTATACCGTACTTTAAGCTGTATATCCTACATTATGCTGTATACCATACATTAAGCTGTATACTGTACATTAAGCTGTATATTATACATTAAGCTGTATATCCTACATTAAGCTGTATACCGTACTTTAAGCTGTATATCCTACATTATGCTGTATACCATACATTAAGCTGTATACTGTACATTAAGCTGTATATTATACATTAAGCTGTATATCCTACATTAAGCTGTATACCGTACTTTAAGCTGTATATCCTACATTATGCTGTATACCATACATTAAGCTGTATACTGTACATTAAGCTGTATATTATACATTAAGCTGTATATCCTACATTAAGCTGTATACCGTACTTTAAGCTGTATATCCTACATTATGCTGTATACCATACATTAAGCTGTATACTGTACATTAAGCTGTATATTATACATTAAGCTGTATACCATACATTAAGCTGTATACCGTACAGTAAGCTGTTTACTGTACATTAAGCTATTTACCGTACATTAAGCTGTATATCGTACATTAAGCTGTTTACTGTACATTAAGCTGTATACCGTACATTAAGCTGGATACTATACATTAAGCTGTATACCGTACATTAAGCTGTATACTATACATTAAGCTGTATCCCGTACATTAAGCTGTATACCGTACATTAAGCTGTATACTATACATTAAGCTGTATACCGTACATTAAGCTGTATACCGTACATTAAGCTGTATACTATACATTAAGCTGTATACCGTACATTAAGCTGTTTACTGTACATTAAGCTGTATACTATACATTAAGCTGTATACCGTACATTAAGCTGTTTACTGTACATTAAGCTGTATACCGTACATTAAGCTGTATACCGTACATTAAGCTGTATACTATACATTAAGCTGTATACCGTACATTAAGCTGTATACTATACATTAAGCTGTATACCGTACATTAAGCTGTATACCGTACATTAAGCTGTATACTATACATTAAGCTGTATACCGTACATTAAGCTGTTTACTGTACATTAAGCTGTATACCGTACATTAAGCTGTATACTATACATTAAGCTGTATACCGTACATTAAGCTGTATACCGTACATTAGCTGTATACCATACA